ATCAAACAGACTTTATTACCACTCATACTCAACAGCTTGCAGGTAATAAGCGTTTCATCGTACCCAAACCCATACATCGTTAACATTCTACGTTAGCATGGGGTTTGAAGCCCCTATGTTATATATTTATATTCATTTCTTTATATATATATATATATTTATGTATCTCTTTTGGTGTGTATTTCGTTAGGTTCTAGTGGTATAAAATTTGGTAATATTGACATTTCTTTCATTTTTCCCTCGAATATGGATCCAAGCTACTTAAATTCTTCTATTCTTTCACAGATTACGTTTCTCGTAAAATTAGAGGACGAGGCTGTTCCTCTGGATGTTTGGTCCCGACCAGTCTGGCGGCAGCAGGGAATTGCAACTGGAGAGGCCTTGCTTCAGGAGGAGGCTAGGGGGTCAATCTAAGCGTTCGTCAGACATGTCTGATTTCAGAGAAAAACAATAATGGCAATTTGTGATTAACAAGAGTAGAACAAATCTTGTGGAACATCTATTCCATATAAAAAGTTACTTGATCCACATAGAATAACTCGCGTTTGAGAGACAGAATGCCAATGACAGAGGAGAGCTGTCGCCGATCTCCCGTTGCAAATTGCCGCAACCGACCTCTCAGAAAGGGCTCATGTTTCCGCAAGGGGGCCACCGCTGCGGCAGGCGCGGCTGGCTCGGGCCAACGCGGCTCGCCTTCGGTGGGCCAGACGGGCAGGGCTCCGGGGGAAGAACCGGGGACCGGGCGAGGGCTGGGGAACGGGCAGTGTACTTCGGGAGGAGGAGGGAGTGTGGCCGGCGGTGCTGGGAGGCGTCGGTGTGGAGAGAGACGAGAATCTGATGCAGTTGGAGGACTTTTTGTGATTTTGGCTTAGAAAGAAAATATAAATGAATAAAAAATGAAAGATAAAAGGTAAAGAAACGACTGCAAGACCACAAGCGATGCAACTTTGATAGAAAAGTATATCTCAGAGGTACAAGAATACCCACTTAATAGTCTTGCTTGGAAATGCGAACTTTAAAAACAGCTGATCACGGGAGTCTCAAGGTGTGAGAAAGCCTCCCGTGGCCTCAATGAGTGGACTCTCCCAGCACGCTGACGCAGCAGTCTCGGGGCTAAGGGAGTTCAGGGGATCACAAACCACGCAGAATACTGACCAAACAGATTTTGATTCTTGGACTAAATAATGGATTTTCTGCAGGGTTACAAATTGGTGGCCACACAGCACCATAATTATCACAAGTATCGAAAAATAGCCAACATTACAACTATTGAAATCATCAAGAGGAAGTAGGACTTGGAGTGAGCACGCTGTATGAAAATATCTATTTCATATCTTGGCTAATAGTATAGAATTTGTCTACTACAGAAATCTATTATAAATGCAGTATATACATGACTACACCAGTTTAGCCCAACGTCGTTTGTCGATGATGAAACATCTTCATTAAACATATAGGGGTCTTTTCCACTCTAGTTTCCATAATTCAGTACAGCTTTTCCTTGGGCCTCTTGTCTGACTCGCGAACTGTTTATCCTGATGCAAATACATATAACAATAACGTGTCACATTTTTCACATGGGATACCAACGATTTGGTCTACAACAATTAGAAAACTTCTCAAAACACAAACGTCCATTGTAAAATATAGTAAGGTTTGGGGCACAGAGTTGAACAGGGAGTGAATGCAGAGGAAAGGAGGCGGAACATAGAGCGTGAAATGTATTTTTATAAGACTGTTTACTCATGATAAAAGATATGGAAAGTAGATCTAATAGTGATAAGAAGCAGGAAGACAATTATAAATGGCAATAACAAGATGAAAGGAGAGGAAAGAATATACAAAACACTGAAAAGATCGTGGGGGAGTGTCACACATCCCAGGCATGATGGATCGAGAATTGATTGTAACCGCAATAAGGAATCAAACAACGAGGTAGAAATAATTAAATACCTTATCGTCCATATGGAGTTTGCGTTGAAAAGGTTGTGCAGAAGGAGGTGACCGTGCAACTATGGCGATGATGATACACGCGTGAAGATATGGGAGGTGGAAAAGGATATATTTTCTTCGAGGTTATAAACAGTTTACTAAGGGTGCTGTTGTTGGTCATCGTGTCTGGCGCAGGTGAAGTGAGAAGTGATTGTCGTGATGATGCCAAGGGTGATATGAAGTGTATTGCTCTTAAGAGTGAAAATAACAATACCTTTGGAGGTAACAGGTTGATGATAACGAGAGTTACTATATAGGTCTCTTCTTTGTGAAAGTGTTGTTGAATAGGTCTCTTTTTGCGAAAGTGTTGTTGATAAAAAACAGTGTTACGTTGCCACAGAGAACCAACGGTGTTGGCAATATGGAATGCTATGCTGCTATTGTGTGAGTTTAAATGCGTTCCTTTGGAATATACATGTGTCTGGATAGCGTTGTTGTTCTGCAGGGTATACGGATCTTCTTTGTTAGAGAGAAGCTTTTAAAAGTCGTTTACGCTGTTTACACTGAT